CTCTGCCATTGGGTTTGCTTAAGCTCCAGGGCTGCCAGACCTTTAGACTGTTTTTTTTTTCAGCATTGATGTTGTTATTTGTATTGTAACAACACATTTAATAATTTCACTTCCGATGATAAAAAGTCTAAAAAAGCAGAATCCAAGTTGTGTGTTGTACCGTAGTTGTCATGCTTACAGCTACAATGCTAAGTCTATCATACTGATGTGGTTGAATACAAATTTTTAATGTTTAAGAATTTTGAATGAATGGATGGTGAAATAAAGTAGACTAATGAAGAAGACATGATTAAAATCAAGCATCAAGATGCTGAAGGTATTGGGTACTTGGTGGTTGTGAGGATGAATAAAGGCCAGAAGTAAAAGAAATCTTGATCAAGGATAGGATTTGAGGCTTGGAGCTGAGTTCTTTACTAAGTGGAAAACTGAAGTTGTGCATAGTCTGGGCTGAATTTTCCAGTGGGCTTCTGAAACACAATATCAGATCCAAATGAGTGTCCAGAGTCCACATTTGCTGACAGCGAGACTGGACCAGCAGTCTTCCATCAGGTGGCCTCCTAACTGGATCATCTCTCGGTGCTATCAGCCTAATCTGTAGCATGACAGCTCGGGAGCCCAAAAGGGGAGGTGGGATCAGCTGAGGCAGGTTGAGGTCCACAAAATCAGTGCAGAAATGAACAAGATCAAAGCTAGCAGAACTATCAGGATGGAAAATAAACTCTTCTTCTGGAATAGGCATAATTTTGGCCTTTCAAGCTGTGGTCATGTGGGACATGAAACCTCTAGCCCTGCTGGCCTCCACCTTGCTGAAGAGAGGATACATCCATGGAGCTGGTGGCCTCTGAATTTGCTGGGCTGCCACCACCAGGGGGAAAAAGATAAGAAAGGCCACAAATTCAGATTCAATTTGGATCTCAATCACTTGGATTGGCTACCCACTGCTGTAGTACGAGTGGCCAACCCTTTTCACAATGTTCCAATGGGAAGCTTCCCAATTAGCAGGAATATATCAAGAATCATCCCAAATTTGCTTCTTGCAGTTTTCCTGGACAGCCACCAGCTCTAATCCCATCTCCAGGGAGTAGGGATATTCTAGTCCTGTGATTCAGTCAGCATAAACAACTTGAAAGGGAATTTGAATCGATGGCAAGAGTTTGGTCAAAACTAACTTTTGATTTCCGACATTTAATTGTAGAAAATAATGCTCATCCATGAATTATTGTCAGAAGGAGCAAACTTTATTCTAATATAAGCTTACGTCTTGTTTCCATGCAAAGCCCTGGTTACCCATACCCTCACTTTCCTTCATTGTGAATGAATGTATTGACATCCTGACAATGAGTTGTATTTATTTCACCTGGCCACCCAGATGTATATTTCATCAGAGATAGTAGGAACTGCAGATGCTGGAGAATCCGAGACAATAAGGTGCAGGGCTGGATGAACACAGCAGGCCAAGCAGCATCATAAGAGCAGAAAGGCTGACGTTTCGGGCCTAGACCCTTCATCAGAAGGGTCTAGGCCTGAAACGTCAACCTTTCTGCTCCTATGATGCTGCTT